CCTTGAATATTCGATATCGTTTTTCGCGGGGAAAATAGTCTCCTTAAATTTCTTACTTTCCTCTGTTTTCGTACACAAGTACAGTGTTTCGGTATATTTTTTTTTTTCGAAACGATGCCGGAATCGCAACAAATTCGATCGTCCCTCGAATATCTGGATTTGACACGCGTGACATCGAAAATTTGAATAAAACGCTCTCGTGAATAATTTCACGCGAAACAAATAACGATTACAGAATTATTGCATTCCTTTTACTCGTGCCGTGTACAGAGTGGATGTGTCACAGTGTGTCGTGATCGGTATGGGGTGGAGGGGGCGAAAAAATGGAGGAACACAAAAAAAGGCGATGTATCGCCGGAGGGTCCGATGTATGACGAAATGCATCTCGGGAACTCGACATTTAGGGACGCGGAGGCGTTGCATTGTTACTCATAGGGGTGCAGGATTATATGGGGTGGCTTCTCCCGTTCAGGGATCCTCGTAACTTGGTACAGATCCGTCATGATCGATAGTCTTCTGTCGTCCGTCGAAAGAGAAACGCGATGCCGGGCCGCGGCCCGCACTTAATTTTGAAAGCCGAGATTGCCTTTCGGCTCGAATCGAGGATCGATCGTCGCGCGTTTTATCGGGGACCTTATCAAATTATTTTTGGTTTCAACTTCGCCACCGTTGGCTCTTCGGTAGGTCGAAAATTCTTAAATCGAGGCTAGAACGGTTCGCCAACTTTTCAATTTTCCAGTTACAACGCTTCCCAACTTTTTAATTCCTCGTGTTTCGAGGTTTCTTCGTTCTTTAATTTTTCTGTTGTGCGTTTCCCGAATTTTTCACTTTCCTTGTTTTCTAATTTTTTAGTTCCACGATATTGTAGTCTCACAGTGTTTTAATTCCCAATTTTCCAGTTGTGGATTTCCTCAATTTTTCTGTTCTTCTTGGTTTTGCAATGTTCTTATTTAAGAAAAAGATTATGGTCGTTTTGTAATTTTTCAGATTTACTAAGAAATAGTTGAAATATTAATGAGACATTTGCTAGTAGAATAAAGGTAACATAGTCATACTTAATAATAGTAACTTTCAATAGTAATTCGACAAATATCTTGTTAATAAAAAATAGAATAGAAGTATATAAATAGTTCCATTTCCCGTGTAATTTTAAAAGAAAGCAACTTTGGGACGTGAAAAATGAAATTATGTACAAACTTACGGGGATTTATCGGAATAATTATTGTCAAAAGACCATTAAGAAATTTTTTACTCTTTGATTACTTCATAAAGTAATAAATATCCACGTGTATAACGGTGCTTGGTATCAAAAGAATACAAAATTATGTAGAAAAGAAAATACATGATATTTTCGATGTTTCAGCCTTAATTTACATACTCTCCTAGAAAATCATAAATCAATTGTACGAATAAAGTGTTATAAAGGTGAACAAAGTGATATTAACAAGTACAAAAGTGTGGCAGGATAAATGATAAAATAATAACACTTTAATTATTCTTCTATATGAAAAATACACATCAATTCTCTCTTTGAATGTAGCATACTCTTTTACTATAGATGTCATTTTGTATATACTTTTCTCTTGTATCTTGTTTCCTGTTACCATACAGAGAATCTCATTCATTTACACTCTCACAAAAAGTATATACATATCATATTTGTCGTCGTGATTGCACTTAGTATGAAATAATAGATAGAAGAATGCAATATGCTGTCTTCTAGCATATGCAAACTGGTCAATTATTAATATTTTTTTAAGTTGTATAGTTTTTGGCTAAAAAATGATCAACTTTTACAGTATAGCACTTGACACTGTTTCTACTAAAAAACACCTCTTCAAATATGAACTTGAAATTATTTTCTAAATTGAATCATTTTTCTTCGATGGAGTTTTTGACTTTGTGAAAATATTTCCATAGTTATTTGCATCAAAAGACACCTTTCAATCGAAATAGGAACGCACAAAGTCGCAGTAAAAGTAGCGTTAATATGAACCAAGTAACCCACGTGGATATACAATTACTGTTAATCTATTTCAATTAACAGCCTGATGTAACACCCTCGACGGTCGCGTTAACTTCTAAATTTTCTGGACGTCGGCGTTGTTGGCAACCCCGAAGAGCCGTTTAATCCTGGGCGACGCGTCGCAATAACGATAATTGTGACCACTTGAAGGAACTCCACCCTCGCAATCTGGAAAGATTCGTTTCTGGATGTGTTCGGCAGTCGGTTCTGTACGTATGACGGGGCATTAAGACAAAGTATTCCCCTCTTTCTCCGGCAGTGGCGATCTCCGTTCACCCTCTCGCCGTCTCACTCGCTCCTGTGCACCCTCGAAGAGCCCCCGAGCATCGCGCAACCCCCGTATTTCTCGGTGCTAAACGCAACTACACGAGGGACCTTTCTGCCGTCTTTGTTTTCCCTTTCTTCCCAGTGTCGTTTTGCAGTCTCGCGCGGGGAGGTCGTTGAACGACGGAAGCAGGAAGGACTCGACGAGAACAGCCCCCAGAAACAAAAAAAAAAAAGGAGAAAAAGGAGAAAAAAAATAGAAAGGAAGACGAACCGACGACGGGCGTCGAAAGGAGGCAAAGGTCAAGCTCGTTATCGGTGTACCGAGGCGACCGCAACGTGGAAACGATCCGGGGGTTCGATAATTACAGAGACAGAGGATTCCTTTTTCGTCGTGGAAATTGTGGTGGATCGTTTCGACTCGAACAGCTACCGCGACGGGACCGATACCTACGAAGATCGACGAATGTGAGCCTCCGGGCAGGGGAATGTGTCGAATCGCGCGTAAGGGCGAACTGTCGGCGAAGTGACGTAACTCTTACGGGCTTGGACGCAGGAAACGTTCGCTGGAAGAATGAGTACCACGGTTACGAAGACTCTCGTTTCGCGCGGGCATCGATCGTTATTGCCCGAGGCCCGTCTGCCGATCCAGTCCGATCAGTGCTCGAGATTCATAAATCTCGACGAGCACGAGGCGTCCGAATGACAGCGAGAACCGTGGTTCGGTGTAACTTCCGTTGAACGATCTCGAGGGCTCAGACGTCGACGTTGAAGTCGAACGCGTCGCGGGGATCGTCGAATTATCGGCGCTCGGGGAAAGAAATTCCAGGCTGAAAGACATTCCGTGATTCTTCTGATCGTGTGGCGTAGAGGGGGAGCGAGAGAGAGCGAGAAAAAGAGAGAAAAAGAGAGAGGGACGGGTGTTGTCATCGGGTAGTCGCGATCAGCAGGAGTAGCATCAGGATCGCGGAAGAGGGTGCAGCAGGAGAGAGAGATTTTTCCCCACCGCTTGGAAAAACCGACCCCCACCAGGCGGCCGGCACGGCCAGGCGGCGGTGGCGGCGGCGTGGATGTGCGGCACGGAGGGGGGTAGGTTACCCAGGGTGGTCTCGGTGGTGGCTGGGGGCGGCAGCCTCAAAAATACACCGCAACCACACCGCGCGGCTCCACCGCAGAAGCCGCCATCTTCCACCGCCGAACCGAAACGAGACCGCGCGAGTTAAACACCCTATCCTACTTCCCCGTGGAAGTTGCCGCTGCCGCCCGCCGAAGCAGCAGCCGCGAAGAAGCATCCGCCACCGTCTGGCCCGGGACTGGACGACTGTCAGTGAATGGAACCCGCAGAAAATTAGTGCATTCGTTGTCGTCGCGCGCGTCTTCGCCGTACACACGTACCCCGACATCCGAGCTACATCCGGTCGCTGGGGACCAGCTGTCGTCGAGCCGCGCCGGCAGCGTCGACGTTGATTCCGGGCACGACACGCGTCCGGTGGTCGAAACTGTCATCGGGTGAATCCGTCCGCTCGGAGGAGTTAATCGAAGATGATTTAGTGGTGTTCGATTCGACCGGGATCCTCGGGGATAACGATGTACGTAGTTTGTGCTGTCGCTGGAGGCCGCGACGTGGATTCCCGGCGCGGGGTTAACACCTGTTAGAGGGGTCTGGAAGTGTCGGTGTGATGTTAACCGAGAGCTAGTTTGATCAACGAGGGGACGTATGTGAGTTTAGAATACGGCGCGTTCCGCGGGAATCGTTGATATCCGCTCCGCGTAAACCTCGAGATCCGTGACTGGTGGTCGCTGACTTCCGTCGAACGCTGAAGGAGTGGGGCGACCGATCAAAGAAACGAAGAAACGAGGGGCGACGTCGATTCCAATAAAACGAATTTTCCCCGCGACTTGGCAATCGAGACGAAGAATTTGCAAACGGATGCTCTTATCTCGGTTCCGTCGTGGGATAATGAAATAAGGATCAAAGGATCCTGTCCCCCGCGCGGGACCGACCCGACGACGATCCAAACACAATTTGTGTCCCCGATCATTTTCATCGATCCATTATAACGGACCTGATCCACTTCCGTGTCAGATCAAGCCACACCGCGGTAGAATAGGGAGCCCCCGTTTCAAAAGCATTCATTAACAAAGTGTCGCGTGGGAACTAATTTCGAGCGCGGCGCTCGTTTGACAGTGTTCGCTCGAGTTTGGTGCGTGCAATGCAGTTACTCTCTAAGGATAAATGATTTTATTGGTTCGATCAGAGTATACCAATGGTTCGTTCTGTTTGAGAATCATCGATCGCGAGAATCCAGAGCCGGTGACGCTCGTTTGACAGTGTTCGCTCGAGTTTAGTGCAAGCAACAGTCGTCCAACAAGGATGAAAGAGCTCGTTCATAAAGACTCAATGTACATCGTGGGATAGGAAATCTATCCTGTTTGAAAAGCCGTGACGCTCGTTTGATAGCGTTCGCACGAGTTTGGTGCGATCGACACTGGAATAAAAAATTCCAACGATTGAATCCAAGCACACCATGTGACAGGAAGTCTATTCTTCTTGAGAATCGATTCCGAAATCCGAATACGTCGTATGAGAACTACGCCGGAGGTTGAACACTGGGCCTGAGTTCACTCGGGTTTGGTGCAACGTTTGGAGAAGATTGAGTCGAATCCTTCGCAGCTAACCGGCGAAGAGGATATTCCACAGATAGAGTCCAATGATCCCGATCTCATGACGAACCCTTTACAAGATGCACGCCCCGAGGAGCGGCCTCCAGGCTTAGACTATCCAGACCCGAGGCTGGTTCGGAACGGCCATCAGGTCCACCAAGGGAACACTGTGCATCAGATCGGTGGCGCGAGGATCAGAAGGACCAGGGCCTCGTCCCTGAGGAGAAGAATGCACTTGGCCAACGAGGTCCCTCCACAAGGATCGGCTGGCGGGAACAATCTGTCGGACTATGCTCTAACCGCGGATTTGCTCGCCGAGAGGACTTTGGATGGACTGTTCGCCGAGCATCCTGGGGAACTGATCAGAACAGGTGAGACATTCTTTCTAAAGTTCCCTGTGGAACCCATTTCCAAAAAGCATATTGGTTAAATTTTACGTATTTTTTAATTCAACGTTTTGGCCTATCAGTTCTTCAGGATCACTCATAAAATTTGGTAGAATTTTTTTTTTAACTAGAATTTATACAAAACTTTGGCTAAGAAGAATCACCAAAGCGTGTTTTAATAACAACATGGACGATAATACGTTATAATAATGATACGCCTCTTTTACTGCAGAGACAAGTACTATACTTGACCCTCTTTTTACGTGGCGAAAGAGCACCGTGTAAAAAAAGTCGCGTAAACTCGCAGAACTATATAAAACTTGTTTTAAAGGTAAACTATACAAAAAATAATTTTAAAATCATGCAAAGACAGGGTCAGGTGTGCTTACATTGTTCTATTCTGTTCGAACAATGTATAGTACATATGCTAATTTCGAATCCTCACAGAGGCTCGTTGTTTTAGTAACTGTCGAGTTTTTTTTAGACACTATTTGTATCTCCAGTTAATCGTTTCTTTTACTTCGAGAAATATCTTTAATTTTGTTATTTACGTAAGTGGAGAAACAGGAGCGTAGTCTATTCGGTGTGCCTTTAGGGATTAGTATAAACCCATAAACCGCGCGCAACACATTTCTCCTACGACTATAATTTACGCGCCCGCGATAACGAATCGACGTTTACTTTTCGATTTAACCTGGGCAATCCAATACGTGTTCGTTGACAATTTGGCGACGATCGTTGTCAACAGGCTCCCCGCACGTGGTCTGCACGGTGCTTCCTGCACACTGGCGGTCGAACAAGACGCTTCCGGTCGCGTTCAAGGTAGTGGCCTTGGGCGAGGTCGGTGACGGGACCCTGGTGACGGTTCGTGCTGGTAACGACGAGAATTGCTGCGCGGAATTGCGGAATTCCACCGCGGTGATGAAGAACCAGGTCGCGAAATTCAACGACCTCAGGTTCGTCGGCAGGAGCGGCAGAGGTAAGACATTGTTACGCTTTCGTTTCGATGCCCGACAATTTCACACACTCTGGTACCTTTCTAAACTCTGGGCATCGATCTTACAATCGAGTTTAACATTATTTGGAACATCTGGTGCCGATTTCTGTTTCGGTGCCAACTTGCTTCGATCTTGAAATTAATCCTGACAAGCTAGAGGGGAGGATAATTCAGGAATTCTCTCATACATGTTCAATATACTATAAGGTATAAAAAAAAGCGTGTAAAGTCAGTACAGAGAACAAGAAAAGACTCATCGAATAAATTACGTTTCTATTCTTCTATTTTGCCTCGTATCGTGTATTAGTTTTGTGACGTCGATTGCAAAAGCTATGATTTCTCTGCGGTATCTTGAGTGTTTTATAACTGTTTGTTTGACAGTGAATAAAAACAGATTTTGAATCGGGTAGACGAGAAATATTGTAAAGAATCATTTTAATTTTTCTGGGGTTACAATGTTAATTCGTCGATGTTCTCCACAAAATCAGTTCGAGGTAGAAAAAATTGAACTGAATAATCGGGAAAAATTCGATCAGCTTTCTGCGGGACTTTGTAGTAAAAAAATTCGTAATGCATTGCATGCCAAGCCAATTTTATATAACATCTTAACATCAAAATTGCGTGTATTTTAGATCACTTACGCCATTTTGCCTTGTAACTACAAATGCAGCCTAATTGTTCGTTTTATTCACACTCTGAATGCCATATAGTTTTAGCTAATAACACATGTAGTCCGAACACGAACACGAACACGAACGACGTGGCATTTAGTCTGTTAAAGCTGCGTAAAAATGATACCATTGGACGCTATCAGCCATCTTAGAATTTCGTTAAAGTTTCATTTATTTTTATAACATCCAGTGCTTCTTTCGCTATCAGACTAAGTCGTAGGTAACTAGATAATTAGGAAAGGTTCTCGATAGATCGATTAAAACAATGGATGAAAATTATTTTTCGAAGCTTTGCTGTATGAAAAAAAAAACAAGTACAAAGGCTGATTTTAATTTTATTTCAGAAATGAATATGTAGTATTTAAATAATTGCATTCGAGCAGATTTAAAGGTGCATGAAAACGAAGAATAATACTAATTACCTTTTTTATTAGCTTTGCTTAATTACTGGCTGTTCTTGCAATACACCAAAACCGTCTTAGTTTTAGAATATTGCAAAATATGTGAGACCAATGTCAACACTAATGACTTTTAAGGAGCCATTGTAAAAAATTTGATGAAAACCTCTTCTCAATATTTTTTACACAAGCTACTACTAAAACAAAATTGTTCAGACTTCCGGGGCGTTTAAGTTTGAAAAATTTGTTTAAGCAACGCCATCTTTGCTTTATCAATGGCTTTCTAATGTAAAAGAATGTCTAGAGGGTGCATCCTATAGAATAACCCCAGAAACATTGCAAACGCACTCCTAGGTATTTAACAGACTCTGCCTGTGGTGTTACTATGTTATTCAGTTTAACGTGAATGTTACATGGATAATTTTTAAATAGTATCGCTTCCAAAAAACAAAAATAAAAAAAAAGAATTGATTTTCTGACTTTTCTGGTCCCCTGAAAGCGCGTGGAAACCCGTTGCCCGGAAAGAGCCGCTATTTTCGTAACGTCGAATCAGACAATTAGGGGAAGGCTCTCTGCAGAGGCGATTGAAAAAGTTCGATCAGCCTCGATCCAAGAAAGCTCTCACCCACGGCTTGGTCTTAAATCATTCAGCGGTCGGTACTTTAAGTCGGCCCACCGACTGATGGCCTCGTTTTTCCTAGAAACGAGAGGCGAGCGTTTCGACATCTGGCCCCTCGTTTCGTGCTCATTTTTAATTCAACCTGCAAATACCGTCGCGACTCGATATCTCGGCCGGCAGTCTGTCGAGATTTTTTCTTTTTTTTAATTCCCGCCTCCGCGTTTCAATAATTCAGCGTTCCTGAGGAACCGAAAGGGAGCTTTGGGCGGTAGAGGGGGGTGGGTGGGGGGGGGGGGATGGAAAAATCGAGGGGCCCTAGGTCGCTGAATAATGCGCGCCGATGATCGCCGCCATTACGGACGCTTAATCCAAACGTCCTAGGACACCGGGACTCCGCTCGCTACGGAGCTTTTCTTTTCTCCTCTCATCCCGAGTTGTCCCTTCTTTTCTCCACGGTTTTCTTTTTTACTTCCCTCCACCTTGGCCAAGAGGGTGTCGAGGATCGGAGAGATACGAGTAACGAGGCGCCCTTTAATTCCTTTAATTCGACCGAGTTGCAACGGGCGCGGTGTCCCTTCTCTTCCGTTGGAAAGACGAGCGACTTTCAACAGAGCAGTCACGAACGTAGTCGGTTAACGAGGGGTGGCTGGCCGACTTGTTTATGGCAAATTGGAAAAGGAAATTGCGGGGTCTGCGATATCGACGCTCTGCCTTCGACAGTCCCGCGCCACTCGAGACGGGGGCGACTCCTAAACGGTCGGTGGTTTAAATACCAGCTTCTTTCTCTTTTTTTCTTTTTATAGATCACCCTAGGCGCGTGAATTTTCAAATATTTTCCCTGCCCCTTTACCGCGTCGGCTACTTTGCTCGATGAAGCCTTTTTTGTAGTCGCGGGGACAGCAAAACGGCGACACTGTTGGAAGAAGGGTGTAATTCGAGGCTGGCCAGTCCGGAAAATATGGGTCACTTTTGGAATTTTTTAATAGACAAACCATTTGAGATATCGGTCTGAGATTTTGCACCGTTATTTTTAAGCATCTTTGCAAGTTACGTGAATTTTTTCGTACGAGAATCGGTAATAGTCTCGGAAATATAGGCGAAAATACTGGTGCAATAAAATATTACAGATTGGCTTTAGTGGACGATTCTCGGAGACTTACAATCCCAAATAACGATTCAGAATTAGGTGATTTAATTTACGAAGTGGTGCTATATCTTGTAATACAAAATTTCTCAAAGTAAGAAAACGGGTTAGAAAAATTTTAGTTATATTCTGTGCTAAAAAAAACCTGAACTTCCAGGAGAAAGAAATTGTTAAACTATATAAGTGTGATTTGTGGCTCAGAGTAGAAACAATTGGAAAACTTTTAAATTAACGAAATGAGAATGCTTTGAATTTGGTATAACAATTTTTTTGATAGCCTAATCTTCACTGGTACCCTGTAGGTAGGGTCATTTATGATCCACGTTATTATATATCACTAATGATTTGGTACTAAACAGAGTGCTTGGAAAAAGAAAATAAATTAAAAAAATAATTATTTTTCATCACGATTTGTTACGGTATGAATTTTACAAATATGTTTATTATAAATTTTACGAGTGTTCACAAGCTTACGAGACCTACACAAAATTAGAAGAGTATCGTACATTTCAAAACCTTAATTTATTAAGTAAAAATTACAATAGAACATATAGTATATTTTCAAGCATGATTATTACAAGGTTACACAATTAAATGATGTCATGTGCTATAGTTAACCGTCGGACGGCGGAAGGTTCGACAATAGGATGCAAGAGTTGCGCCATTTTTGATCGATAGTAATTCTATAGTTACAAGAATATAAACAATTTTCATAAAAACACATTTACATTATTCAATCCAAGAAACTTAGAATATACAATAAAATTAAATAGTACACATTATAAAACAAAATGGAATAAAAATAAAAAAAGAGAGAGACACGAGGTTAAATACTACACTTGTAGTTTTATGGTTCTCGCGATATGTGTTCCTCGTTTATAAAAATTGAAAGAAACGTTTTATATAAATCTTAGAGGGAATTAAATTTCCCAGAAAAATGAAACAAACATTTTCTTCATTTTCGAACCACATTAATAATGTTTGCTATAAATGCTGTAGTTAATACATTTACGAAAATATTGTTATTATCTTCAATTAAAGTTGCATTAAAATAATGTACCGGAAATATTGTGGCGTGTTATGTGTCTCTGTTTAATTTTTGTCGCGGTACGAACGCATACTCTTTCACTGTGCATGGTCACAAAAATTGTTCGACGGGTCGTACATCGTGCAACCATGATCTATGGTCTTCTGCCATTGTTCAGAAAGCAATTGCATTCCTCCGTAACGCCATGCTGATTTTATGAATGCAAAATACTTCGGGCATTTGCGTTTGATGCCGTCACCAGTATTAAATTGTCTCTTGTTCAAAAAATACGCCATCGCCGGTTAAAGGTGATAATTGACGAAACAAAATTCAGATTATTATACTCGATGAATTATAATTTTCTAAAGCAATGATCATTCATCTATCGCTTGCAGGAACGAATTTCCCTATTGGAGTGATTCAAAAGAGAAATCGAATTTTTTTCTATTATTAATAAAGACTTCAGTATAGACAGTGTTTTATTAGAACCACGGTACGAATTAAAATGAAACAGTTACTTTTCAAGATTAAAATCACGTTTTTGCATTTAGACTTTGAATGGATTAAAAATGAATCAAAGTTAACAAGTTAAAAATTGCTACTGTAAATATTAACAAATATTATGGTAGAATTTATTTTTATTTTTCTTCATTATTAAAGCTTTTTGATGGTGCACATCTTAGAAATTAATCTAGGAAATACTGTTAAATAAAATGAGTTTATTTAGGATAAACAGATCGATGACCAGGCAAGGAATCTATTTTCGAAATATATCTTCCGCACGTTGAGTTACACTCAGTGTAAACTATTTTCGCGAATGCACTTGCATCTCTTAAAGGGTTGAATATCGATAAAGCAGTAGGGCGTAGGTGGAATTGCTACCTCCTTTGGGAGTCTGCGAACGAAGAGATTCGAACTGGGAATTTCGGGCAGATTGAAATAGGTAACGGTCAGGTTCGGACTAGACTGAATTAGAATTGGGTTAGAGTGAGTTAGGTCTCGAGAATGGATCGAGAATTTTTTTGTAGAAAATTGATCGTGTTTGTTTTCTTAACTACGATATTTCTGGCACATTTATTTGATATAAAAACGAATAAATTAAAAAGTATCAATAGTCATTGTA